AACCTGACCATCCTGATAACGATAAACCAGCCTGATGAGAGTTGGTGGGCCAGGTCTTTTTAAAGAAGGGAGGAATATGACGACGTTGACGAAAAGGGAGCAAACATGTTACATGGCCAAATAGGGGTGATAAGAAAAGGCATTCGCTCCTTTTCCTGGAATACTCAAACACCACCTCACGAGATAGCTTTGTCTTTCTTCTCCTTCTCTATTCTTGATACTTTCACCAAATGGCACAAGTTGATCCCTGATTCCTTCCGGGTTGTGACATCTGCCAGTATACACTCTAGCGAATGAGGATCACGCGTAACTAAAATAGAATGAATTGATTGCTTGTAGATAAATGAGTGGCAGCCAGAGGATGTATTAAATACACATCTACAAAGTTGGTTCATATTGGATATGTGATGGTACAAAATGATCTGATTGAAATTGTCTGTCCCGATCTACAAGCCTTTTAAATTAGTCTGGCAGTCGGCCGAAGAGGAGTCTTGGCCCTGGTTGACGCCCACAGTCTAAACAAATGCAGGTAATTTAGATCCACTAGATTCAATTAAGCTTGTGCTTACAACGTTAGTAGTTGACACTTAGACCTGGCCGGCTGGTCTCACATTATATTGTGATCCAATTGGGACCTGTCACACGTAGAGGGGCATATCATGGACTGGTTGGGTCGGAAAAAGTAAGACCTTTACTGTGAATGAAAAAAAGGGTTCAATGGGTGCCTATTTGCGCTGGCTAAATGTGCGGAACAATCGAGATGGGTAGTTGGGCAGTGGATAGATACAGCATTGCACACGGAATTGGGACGGAACATTGGAATAAATACCACAGTACACTGTCTCGGTGAAGTAAAGGAACTATCTATGCTACCAATGTGGCCTAGTGCCCCATTCCCTTCTCCCGGTTTTCCTGCACAATCTTCCAGTACGTCTCCCGACTACGAATGCGGCAGGACTTGCCAAACTTGATCATCACGAGAAACACGGCTGCACAGGCCATACCAGCAAAAGCTGCCGATATGAAACAGTTCTGATAGCCCAAATTGTTTATCCATGGCGTAATACTATCATCATTAGTCATCCGGCTTATAAGATGGCAGATTAGTGTTGTGAACTCACCCGTAACCGATGGCAAAGGACATTGTGTTCCGCACCAGAATCACACTAGCGATTGCAATGCCACTCAGTTCTCGGTAGCTATCAACAAGGTAGTTGACACTTAGCGTGATGCCGCAGGTAGTGGTGAATGCTAACATGCACATAGCTGCGACTAGACCAAACCAATGAACTTCGTGTGCAGCGCCGACACCCCACAGCAGGAGGGATCCAGGTACGAGGATTAAACAGGCAAGGAAGGGCCAGAGACGATGCTCTGCCTCCATGATCCCACCGTTGCGACGGGCCAGTTTAATCGTCAGCCAGTCACTGAATCGGCCGGTGAAAATGGAGCTGTTGTTTATGAGTATTGGATTGTGGAACTTTCGTAGAGAAACTTACCCGAGGATAACTCCCAGGCAGCATGCTAAGTAGCTGAGGCCGACCATAGAAGAACTGAGACGTGTTAGATTCTTACCCCTGACCGTAGTGAGCTTGGGGCTTACCTAAGGTTATATGGGGCCGATCCCAGAATGATCGACGCAGTTCCGTTGAGGATATTGAACAGAACCAGGTAAGATCCATACGAGAAACTATCCAAACATTAGCTTTCAGTCATCCGTGGAGCTAGGAGGGAGGGACGCATGCCCAGCATAGAAGATCACCGGCCATGACAGGTAGTTCAAAGTCTGCCAAATCCGACGCAACATGGTGTTCTGCTTCTGGCGAGGGCCCAAAAGCGAGAGCTTCTGCACATAAGACTTCTTGGTGTAGAATACGCCAGTTTCCGCAGACGGGGAAGAATAATCAGAGACCGGCACGACTTTCTCAGGGTCATCACTATGAGAGCGGTGGCAGTAGCTCAGTTGAACGTTGGCGATAGTGGCATCTTCAACATGTTCGCGAACGTAGTTGGTTTCTTCCATGAAGAAAAAGAGGAAGATCATGGCACAACCAACAAAGATACTGGGCCAGTAGAAGACCCAGCGCCAGCCCTGGTACTCGGCGATGAAACCACAGATCACCGGTGCAAAGGAGTTACTGCCAGCGAGGAAAAGGGCGTATAGCCCCATATAGGTTCCGCGCTCATGGGTGAAGTACTGACACTGTTAGTACTTGGTGCCTCGCAGGTTCGGGATGCGGACGTACCACATCGGTCACCGTAATCTCCGGTAGGGCTTCGATAGGGGCAGTGAAAAAGCCAGAGAGGACGTTTCGTGCAATCCATTGGCCGTTGGTGTGTGCATAGGGACTGAAATGAAGTTAGGAATGGTGTCTTTTTTCCCGAGGCATCAAAACTCCTTACCCCCACATTGTTGTACCCTAACACTTGTTAGCCATGGTTCTTCATGTATCACCTCAGCAAAGCACCTACCAAAATGCCTGCCAACGACAATATATAAGTCAATCGCTTGCCAAATTGCATTGCAAAGGGCTGCCAGAAGAGCAGACCCCATCCCATCAACAAAAACATATACCCCGTGCCTTCATTAAGAGTGCTGACCGGCAGTCCTGTCTGTTTCGAGAGCGGTGTGATCACCGAGTAGAGGACGGAGGTGGCGATACCGGCGAACAATGTATATCTAGAAGATCCGCGTGGCTCATAAGTATTCACCTTCCGTAATCTACACTTGAATTTATTGATACTCACACGCTCACACAGACAGTTGACAAAAGTTTCCTCTTGGGACTCCAGTTCAGCGGATCATCCGGGTCATGCGAGGGTGTCGGGATCAGCACGATATCTCCATTCCCACTTTCCAAATGGCGAGTATGCAACACATGCTCTACATCGACAAGCGTGACGGTGCCAGGGATTGCCGAGCTATCCACAGCCAGCGCCATGATGAGCAGTCTCGTGGCAGAAGCAAAGAATCAAGGAAATAAAAAAATGAAATAGTGAGATACAGAGATGAGAAAGAGCCGACAGTTTTATGGCTGAGAATTGAATGGTGTTTAAAAGCACCAACCCGGGCCTTTTATACCCCCCAACTTTTGCACTTAAGAGGTTCTGGTATGCAGTCTCTAGGGTATGTCTAAATCGATCATTGCTTCCCCATGGGGCTGCTACGGGAAAAAGTTTGTTAGTCAGACGGGCTTTTCAAGGTTTGAGAGAGAGTCCTGGTTCAATTTTGGTTTGAGTGTCCCATAGAAGTCCACTTTGACCTTGCGAGTGGAAGCACGCACCCAATTGGGAGAATAGCCCGGGTCGGGCGTCTAAGCAAGTGACGGCTCATCCTTAGCTCCGAAATTCGTAGTTTAACTTCCGAGAATAGCATTCCAGGGCTTATCGTTCCGTGGCGGCTCTCCGGGGTCCAAGGCAAAAGTATATTATTTGTCGCGCATGCGGACTAAAGTCCGCTGGGATTTTAGTCCGTTGGAGATGAGGGTCGTCCCCACTAGTTTCCGTACACTTCGCGCGCTCACGCGTCCGACCACTACTTTTTTCTTCAACAACAATGGTACTCAGAACCCCCCTATCGCCTATTGATCCAAACGAGGCGAAATACTGCGTTATCTCCCTACCGGCGTGGTATTTTAGTTGGTCAGCACCTTGTTGGTCGCAGTATTCCCCAAATCGCTAAGGCTGTTCAATCATCGCCTACTACGGTGCATATAACTAGTATATCCTCAAGAAGAACAGGCAACGTCACGACGGCAATAGCATTCCACGCAGCGGCCATCCACCGATCCTATCGCGAAGCGATACGCGAAGGATTTTGACGTTAATTAAACGCGATCACTTTACCACCTATCACGATATACACGTCCGATGTGGCATTACTGCATCGAATAGTACTATACTTCGATTGCTAAACCAGTCTGGTTATGCCAACTGGCGGACCTCGAATATCACTTGAAGTGGCCCACATTCGCTATGAATGGGCTATAAAGCATCGAAATTGGACTTACCGCGACTGACGACGAGTTATTTGGAGTGACAAATATGTTCTTTGGAAATCGGCAAGGGCAACGCGAACCTTGATGCTTTAGGCTTAATCGGCTTGGCGAGAAATGGAAAAAAGAGTATATACAGCCGTAATCGAAGTCCAAAGTTAGGTCTATTATGATTTGGAGCGCGATCTAGGGGGGGTTCACTCAGATATTCATATCCTCTAGCACCCCTGAACAGTATGCAGCACGGTCGCTGAATATAAAACTAGGTACGTTTGCGCATGTGCTTAAAACCCGAACTGCACCAGAACTGGTAATATTACGGTATTTGGCCGAATTGTGGTTAGGTGGCGGCGTAATGCTTCGTACGAAACAATATTGGCTCGCGAGAGAGACTGCCTCCATCGAAGTCATGACGTATGTGGCATGACACTAGAGTATCGTTACGCCCCTGGACAAGTGAAGTACAGAGGATAATAGATCGCCAAACGGTGGAGGTAATGAGAGGCGTCGCTATGAAAAGGGCAAAATGAAATTTATTAGCTGAATGTAGTATTGATCTTGCCCGAGAGTTGAGTGTATTGAGACCGGATCCTGATAACTCCGATGGGGAGCCATGAGGAGAAAGACTTCCCTATTCTATTAAGAGGCAAATTAATCTATAAAAGATTGGTAGACTGATTTTCCCCCTTTCCCAACTTCTTATAATACGCATGACCCGATCCTTAACAGTTTAACTGCTACCACCCTATGATCCAATGAGTCGACCGAGCAGCAAACATGTCCAATCATCTCGATCAGACGCCAGACAATAAAGGCCCGTTGATTACCAGACTGAGCCTTTCTATAGGTGTTCTGTCGACGGTCTTTGTGGGTTTGCGGTTCTGGGCGAGGGCACTCACGCGAACAAGGCATGGACCTGACGATTGGATGATGGCAACCTCCCTGGTATGCCTCGAAGAGCAGTCCAAGCTACCTGTACTAACTTCTAAGCTTTTCATATACGGAATGATCGCTCTCACTATTGTAGGTAAGGAACTAAGATCATGAAGTGGTCCGAAAGGATAATTTTGAATACTCATATAACTACAAAAGCCGTCTACTTGGGAGACACTGGAAAACATGTCGATTTCGCCAAATCAAACAACGTCATAACAATGAGCAGAGCTGAGCTAGTCTGTCCAAGGAAATCTTTGTTTCACCTAAAACTGACGTTATAGAAGTACCTTTCCTTGTTGGATATCCTCTATACCACTAGCATCGCCATTATCAAAGCTTCCATCCTGACTATGTACTATCGAATACTTCCTACCCGATTTGTTAAGATCAGTGTATCGGTGCTTGGAGTAATTGTGTTCATGTGGTGGTTCGAGGGCTGCCTTGTCACAGTGTTCCAATGCCAGCCAATCCAGAAGGCCTGGGGCATGTCAACTTTAGAGGGCCGGTGCATTGACAAGGGCAAATGGTACTTCGCTGCTGCGGTCCCGAATATTGTCACTGATGTGGCAATTTTGACAGTACCAATCTATGAGATTTGGCGACTGAGATTACCTAATGCTCAGAAGTTTGCCATTGCTAGCACCTTTCTACTGGGCGGATTGTACGTGCCAACTCCTTTGCAGCAATACGATGTTGAACTGACACAGTTAAGCGTCACTATTGTCAGTTGCATCCGAGCTAGATGCGTCCTTAACCTTCACGAGGGGGACAATACAGACTTCATATGTAGGTGACAACTCTAATGCTGATGCCAGAAGCGACTGTTGACCTTGACAGACCGTGTAGCGTGTGTCTGGTGGTGGTCTGTCGTGGAGATTTCAATTGGATGTGTCTGCGCCTGTCTCCCGACACTGCTACCCGTGGTTCGCTTTTTGTTCAGACACTTACGCGGCCGTGGGGAGAAGGGCAATACCGCGACTAAGTGCGTAAACGGCGTCGCGACTATTGGCAGTTCACCGACTAGGAGGCACCCGCCTACAAGCCCTCACAGAGCTGGAACATGCGCTGGACAGAACGAGGAAGGAGCCTCTGCCAGTGACCTATACCTGCAATTTGAGGAAAGCTCAAATGACCGAAACTCTTTTGTTTCTGACGAGCTAGAACCGGGCCTACGAAATGACGGAATTACCATGGATACCATGACAGGAGCTCGCACAAATCAGGAAATACCCCAGTAGTTAGTGCTTTAATACCCAATAATTCCCTCCCTACGAACAATATACGTTTTGGAGGTACGGATTTATTATGAAGTTGGTTAATAAGTACATCGCGACTAATAAAGCTATGGTTATGTGGGAATGGTACGCTCGATAGTGGCTCTGGGCAGGATTTTGGTGGCTTTAGTAAGTCAAGCCACTGTTAACTAGTCACTTCGCTCTGTCTGGGTCTATTTTCAAGGACCTTGAGGAACATACCGGGAAGTTATACTGTATCGGGCCTTGATTTGTCCCGATCTGTATTCCCAAATTTACGTCGCCGAATGATACAGTAGCCATGTCAACATGTCTTACTCTTTTGGTAGGAAAATGCAGCGAGCCCATAAATGGTACCATACTCAGCCCCACCATCAGGTGACTTGTTCAGCGCTGAAAATTTCATTATAACCTTAGCCCATGGCCTTTCAGAAGGATTGGCCTGCATTTAGTCATCCTGGTAATTTCATCTCTCCTGCAATCGAAGCATGAAGGTGGTTATTTACCGCTCCTATCGCCGCCTTCCGATAATAGGTTAGAACATCTTGTCGCGCAACGGAATGCTTTCGAATTCTACTGTACACGTGCAATGAATTTGGCCGACTTGGCTAGTTGCTGGAGGGACGCAATGCCGTATATGAATGTGTTCGAGTTCATTCGCCAAAGGACTTATAGAATACTATCACATTATAAATCTAATCTAGTGCTCTAATCTTACTGGAAGCGGCTGAGTTGAACTTGGAGCAGTTGAAGAACCGTGACTTGCACCGAGCTGACTTAGGGATGATTGAAGATATGGTGTATTGTGGGAATATGCCGTAGGAGTTATTACAATGTGTTTTCATGGAGATATTGTAAACACTGAGAATTTTTTATTTGATTTCAAGCGTGTTAGCAACATTAACGAGTGTTGGAAAGAAGAATTTGATTTTATGGCGACACTAGGTATTTACAAGAGGATCAACTTGCCAGCTGTCGAGCCAAGTTTTGTACATGCTGTTATAATCACAATTGTCTGTGTCAATGCAGGACTCGACCATCTCTTCCATAATTGATCACGATCCGATGCGGGGTAGGAAGCTACGAGGACCCACCTCTCGCCCTCGACGATCGGCTTAAATAGCTGACCGTTAACATAGCACTCCAAGGCCGTTAGACGGGTATCTCTGGGTACAATTGATCCCTGAATTTGAACAAAAACCTTAGAGTCGCGAGTTTCCTTCACATGGGTATCCACGACCACCTCAAAGGTCGATTGAGAAGTCCATGGCCGAATGTCTCGGCCAACCTTAACGCAATCAGATTCAAGAGCAGGCACGAGAGGTGGCTTGACACGGCCCTTCATCGCTTTCTCAAAGGAAAACCCATATTTAAGGAGGCTGTTATCATCATAGGCCTTCCCAGCAAAGGTAAGATTCACAGGCATCCCGGTATCTTCCATAACACCCATGGGAACAGAGATAGTTGGCACACCAAGGTGACGCATAGGCCTATTCCCATTCGAGTACTTAACGCCATTGCTCCAGGCATACTGCGAGGCCTTCTCATCCCCGTCCGCATTAGCAGCTCCCACATCACCATTAGCCGGGAATACCACAGCATCGAGTCCAAGCCCATCCATCCAGTTTTCAAGATTCTCCTTGCGCGCATTTTCGAGAGCCTGGACTGCCTGCTGAATACCTGGAATGTCAAAAATAGACGCTGGCCTCCGGTGTGGGTATTTAACCATCTCATCCCACATCAATGCATTAGCCGCATCCGGCGCACCCTTCAATGACCCCGGGGCAAGTGGGAAGATAGTTGTCGGATCAACCTGAGAAAGAGACTCGAGACCCTTTTGGCCGTTGTTGACCAGGAAGTCATCCCAGACATGCGCAACCAGGTCGCACCTCTCCAACGCAGGCCAGCTTTCTGGTAGACCTGCGACGGTGACGAGCAGGCCCTTATCTGCGTTCGATTCGTAGACTGTCACGAGCGGGAAGTCGGTTTCGATCACCTCCGCACCGCAGGATTCGAGCACCTTTCTGGCCTGCTGCCATAGCTTGATAACAGAGGGCCGGGTATTGACTTTGCTAGCCGGGGAAAGAGACGAGTCGTCGCCTCCGATGTACATTGATGGTACGCCGATACGCTTCCCGCGCAAGGAAGTGTCATCCTGTAATATTGAAAAAGACTGTGGTCGTAGTGTATTGAATGAAGGGAGTGAGATGAGTTTCTGTTCCTGATAGAAATCCCCTGAAGGGGTTTTATCGGAAACAGCTAGAACATCGAGAACATGGAACATGTCTGCCATAGTTCTGGTATGAGGCACCAGGACATCACAGGTCGGGTAGAGTGGCCAGACACCGCGGAGAGGAAGAAGGCCTTTGGAAGGTGTGTATGCAATAATAGAATTATTAGACGCAGGCGAGCGTCCAGAAGAAACAGTCTCGGTGCCGAGAGAAAATGCGCAAAAGTTTGAAGAAGTTGCGACGGCCGATCCATTTGATGAGCCGGAAACATACGCTGCAGCCAGGTATTTGTTGTTATATGGGCTTTCAGCACGCCCATAAGACCCGCGTTGCATACCGCCGTACGCCATCGCAGGCATGTTTGTCCGACCCAGAAGTATGGCACCGGCCTCTCGGAGATTTTGGATACACGCAGCATCCTCGTTGGCAACGAGCGTCTCGAATGCAGGTGATCCGCTGGCAATGGTCATACCCTTGACTTTTATACTGTCCTTTGCGAGGTATGGGATACCCTCCAGTGGACGAGGTGGTGAACCAGTAGCGCGCCGGGCATCGGAGGCGGCTGCTTCTTCGAGAACGGATGGGTTAAGGATTGGGATGGCGCTGAGCTCTAGGCCATTCGCATCGTAAACGCTGATTCGTCGCAGGTATCGTGACACCAAGTCCACGCTAGAGAGCCATCCTGAAGAAAGGACGGATTGCAGCTCGGAGATACTTGCGTCGAGGAGCGAGAAGTCTTCGGGTTGGTTTTGTTGAGCCATGACGTTTATGATTGAGGATATATTTGTCCAAGTTGACATTTTGAGATGCGGCTTATATGATCAATGCCCGTACATCTTCAGAGAGTAGTACTTGGCTTTTTACTAGGAGGCCGGTAAGCATATACCCCGTCAACGTGAAGGTGGCGGAGAAGAGTCCGCCTGCTTGGAGCACAGCGGACAACAGTCCGCTCCCCACCAATATTCTCTTTTTACTTACTAACTTCAAAGATCTCTAGAATTTGTTAACTTAGATCTCTAGGTTTTGCTAGTCTTTTAGATTTTACCCTGACTCGGATACGTGTTGTTTTGGTGATACGTCTCGGCACGTTCTGAATAGTTAGTTCTTAGTCGTATGTAGTAGTTACAAGTAGTTAGCAGTCTATAACACAGCAAAAATATAGTCATACCAATAACATTCTCTCCAGTATAGTATTAGAAAAAATATTATCAGATGACAGCTTCTTTTCAAAATACTATATTGGAGAGAATATTATCGGTATGACAATATTTTTGCTGTAATTCCCGGCCGTCCCGAACACCCCATCCAAAATCGCGTCTTCCTACCTTCGTACCAACTTCAACCACCTGCCATGCCACCAATTCGCACTGAATCTTCGCAAAAATTAGCCAATCAAGAGGGCAAGATCCTATTGGCTCTTTCAGATTTAAATTACGGCGGTGTCAAATCTCTTCGCGCAGCAGCGAAGCTATACGCAATACCGCTTACTACCCTACACGATCGCGTACACGGCCAATCTTCTCGCGTTGATTCTCGCCCATCGGGCCATAAACTGACCCAATTAGAAGAGGATTCGCTTGTTGAATGGATACTCTCTATGGATTCACATGGAGCAGCCCCTACACCAGCTACTGTACGAGATATGGCTAATATCCTACTGACTACGCGTGGTAGCCAGCCACCATCTACTGTTGGCAAAAATTGGCCATCAACATTTATTAAACGGCGCAATGAGCTTCGAACACGCTTCTCACGGAGATACGATTATCATAGGGCCCTAAACGAAGATCCTAAATCACTTCGGCAGTGGTTTCTTACTGTACAATCTATAATTGATGAGAAAGGGATTCAACCAGAGGATATCTATAACTTTGATGAGACAGGATTTGCAATGAGTCTTATTGCAAATCAGAAAGTGGTTACGCGCGCTGAATACTACGGTCGGAGGTCTCTTTTACAGCCAGGAAATCGTGAATGGGTGACTACGATTGAGTCAATCTGTACAGATGGCTATTCATTACCGCCATGTGTGATCTTTAAGGGCAAGGTTGCCCTTGCTGGTTGGTTTGATAACCTACCGAAAGACTGGCGATTTGAGGTCTCAAATAACGGCTGGACTACTGATGAGATTGGTCTACGTTGGTTACAAAAGCTCTTCATCCCATCAACAAATTCGCGCGTACGCGGCCGATTTCGTTTATTGATTCTCGATGGGCATGGTAGCCACCTTACACCCCAATTCGATCGAATCTGTGCAGAAAACGATATTATTCCTCTTTGTATGCCTGCACATTCATCACATTTATTACAACCACTAGATGTTGGCTGTTTTGCAGTACTTAAACGCGCATATTGTTGCTTTATTGGTGACCTCACGCAGTCAAGAGGAGCAAGAAGAGTGTAGTTTGGCCGTAACGGGTCACCTGTTGCTGCGGTCGTAGACCGTAGCGTCAGATAGGGCCCGTCCGCGCTCCCCTGAAGGGAGGCAATGTGTTTGTATTGTAGTGGATTCTATTTACAGGGGGAAGGCGAGAGGGACAAAATCAAGACTTGACTGCGTGAGAGATGACGAGCTACCCGCAGAGGCAAGGAACTGACTCTCGTGAAGCAGTTGTGGGAGGAAGAGGCCCTCAGTAATGTCGGTGTAGATATCACGTGAGGCTACGGGCATTGTGAGGCAACCCCAATAAAACCACTCCCTAGAATGCTTGCTGTCTATCAGCAGTGACCTCAGGCTTCCACTGAAACCAGGGC